TGATTGTGACGAGACGTTCAACTACTGGGAACCGACTCATTATCTCATCCACGGCACCGGCTTTCAGACGTGGGAATACTCGCCCCTATATGCCATCCGGTCGTACGCTTTCCTCTGGATCTATGCTTTGCCGGCATTTCTCTACTCATCTCTCATTCAAACCAATCAATTGCTTGTCTTTTACTACACCCGATGTATTGCTGCCTTCTGTTGCGCGCTCGCAGAGACATATCTCTATCGGTTAGTCATCACATGTCTGTCCTGAACATGTCTGTCTCTCTCATGTCTGTCCCTCTCATGTCTGTCCCTCTAATATGCCAATCAATTACTGTATTGTCATTGTTGTCCACATCGTAGAGGGATATCACACCAATTCGGGCCATCGATCGCCCGATTGTTTCTCTTTTTTATGGTTCTGTCGAACGGAATGTTCATCTCTTCGACGGCATTCCTCCCGAGCTCTTTCTCCATGTATATGACGGCCCTTACGTTCGGCGCATGGCTTCGACAGAACCATAAGATTGTAATCTTAACGCAAGCAATAAGTGCTCTCATCGGTTGGCCGTTCACCGCATTACTCGGGTCTGTCTTTACATCCATATCCTACCGATGATTGTCTTATTTCATGTCATTTTATGTTTGCATTTAGTCTTCCGATTGCTATCGAAATGCTAATCAATAAGAAGAAACGAATCTTTTTCGCCAAATGGTCGGCAATAATCGGTGTCTCAGTTTTGGTAACTATTCTTACTTTCAATTTGTTTGAATGTCTTATGAAATGAATTGTTTCCGGTTTCAGTTGCCATTAGTTCTGATCGATACGTATTATTACGGAAAGCTGGTGTTGGCTCCGGTCAATATAGTGCTGTATAACGTGTTCAGTTCCCACGGCCCAGACCTCTATGGGACAGAACCCTGGTTCTTCTACTTCACCAATTGCTTTCTTAACTTCAATCTCGTGTTTGTCGTGTCTTTAACAGCCCTTCCCGTTATGGTATTTTGCAACAACTCTTTAATTCATTTCATTGACATCTAAATTGATCTCAAATTTTAATTGTCAGTTGTTTTGCAAACTCTTTGTGAAATCCAAACGAAATATCGTCAACTCTAGTCATATAATATGTTTGTCTTCACTACTCCTCTGGTTTGCCGTATTCTTCAGTCAATCCCATAAAGAAGAGCGGTTTATATACCCGGCGTATCCACTCATCTGTCTGTCGGCCGCCTTTGCTATAGAGATGGTCCAGAAGGCACTGACGGCTATTATTCCCCGTTTGACTTACTTTTACTCATCATTAGTCTTAG